TTTTCGGAGGGGCCCCAAAACCCATGAATAAACTGGGGTTGATAAATCCGGGGTCAACATGAAATCTCAGGCCAGGGTTTTAAGCAGAGACTTTCGACTTTGGATTCGCGGATGCCGCGATGCTGCGGCATGTCTTGGGCCCGGCTTACGAAAGCTGCGATCAACGCATCTCTGGTCCGGTAGGACCTAGCAACGCCACCCCTTACCCCTTACCCCCGCCACCCAGCTCCAAGAAAAATGTGCATTGTAGTCAGAAGAAAGCTGGGTCCCGAACATGAGACTAGGCCGGCTCTGAAGCTGTGAGTATCAGTGAGCACAGGGTCGCGCCTCGGTTCTCATCGTTGCGGGGCGACCCCTCTGAAAACCAACCTATGTCTCAATGATGCGGGCAGTAGAACCGCACATTCCATAGGGAGACTTGCCGACGCACGGGCACTAGATAGTTTTTGCAACTTGTGGTAACAAGAAAGCTGCAGGTCGGAACTTTGGACAGTGAACTGCAAGCCACCACCGTCACGCACCCAAGCCCGTCGTCCTGCCGTCATACCCTCGTGTCAGTGCTGGCCCGTCATGGGGCGCTAGGCGCGTTGCGCGCCAAGCTCAAGCTTACCGAGCACCTCTGAATGATGGCGGCGACGGTTCTACCACCGGCTGATGCCCTCGCACTCTACCCGGCCAGATACCACACAGGGAAAGCACGAAAAATCGGCAAGCGTCCAAAGGGGTCGCTGCGACTGGCAGCGAAGGGGCGTCAGCCACTAACATGGCAATCAACAGCAAGTGCCTTCTGCTGACAGGGTCGGGGGTGGCTTGTTCAAAGAACGTGTGCGAGAGAGAGACCGAGAGCGCCTCAAACAGGGCAGGTGACATATTCAGCCCTACCAAACGGCCCAGCTATTTACAAAGGTCCTGGCCTTGTGATCTGCTTAGTCTCTCATCATACGTGGAGTCAGATTGCGGGCATTCCTACCATGCCACATGGGATGTCAGGGCAACGCAAAGCTTCGGAAGCGATGAAGGGCTTGTCAGCGCAAAGTTCCCCAGATGGACAGTGAGCCGAAAGCGGGCTCTAAACACGTGGGTTGTCTTTTGGATCCACGCTAATTTGCAGAGCCGTGGTTGCTGCTTTTGGGTTGCAGAAACTGCCGTCACAGCCACAGTGTAATTCCAACTGCCCCAAAAAAGCGAGCGTTCCCTCGCGCCAGGGAGATGAGGAGCGTTCACTCGGGATCCCGGTGTCCCCCATGTGCGAGTTCTGCCCTTGGCTTTGCGGCGAGACTTCTGGCTTTGGACGTCGACGAGCTTTTGCGCAGATAGACAATCTATCCCCAGGTTTTCAATGCGGGGGGGAACCAGGGGATTTCGACCGCATGATTGAATTGATGAGGGCGGCTCACGCCCCTGTTCGAGGGATGCGGATCAATCTTGCAGGGAGCATCCCCAATATGGTTTTTGTGATGCCGCGGTCAACATGTCGGGACATCTCCGTATGGGCACTGTGGTAAAATCACATTTGCCAGCTGATTACTTTGGAGTTGGATGAGTCCCTTGGTAGACGAAGCTTTGAGTTCGCGATGAGCACGGTGCAGCTTTCCAGAGGTTTGGGCAGGCGACTCGAGCTCCAGGTCAATTGGCGCAAACTTAGGGAACCTCAAGGAAAAAGCATATCAAAGGATACCCAAGGCACCGCTGATCGAATTCAGCAAGCCTTCGGAGATAAGGGGCGTAATTAATCCCAAAGCTTTTGGTTCTTTCCACAAAATCCGACGCACCGCGCCCCTTTCTCAGCACCAGGTTTGAATTTTCACCCATGAAGGAAGGCGGCTCATGCCTCGCCTGGCTACGAATGGGGAGCCCCTCCAAAATGGGTGTGGCTCAAAATCGAGCTAGGGTTCTGCGGGTTTTAGTCTTTGGTTCCATGTACCAAGGTGCTATTTTGGTGTGTCCTCGCAAGGGTCCCTAATTCGCGGGCTCAAGCAACTCGCAAGCTGAGGCGTTCTGGGAACGTCGCTGACTTCCGAGAATCTCAGAAGGCCGGCTGATCAAACAAAAGGTCGCTCCAGATGTGAAAAGACCCCCTTCTCCTTTGGGCTGGGTGGGTTGTGTGGGTTGATGGGTTGGTTGGGTTGATTGGGTTGGGTGGGTTGGGTGGTTGGCGGGTTGAAAAGGAAGCTTCAAGCAAAAGGAAGCCAAGGATTCTCTGGGGATGAACATCCATGGCTGTTCGGCTTGTTAATGGGCGAAGCTTCGGCGCCCAAATCGGTTGTCTTGAGGAACAGCTAATGATCAACACATGAGGTCCGTATGGGTCTGTCGTTTTTTTTGGGGCTTCCCCTGGTTTGTGCTACGAACACCAAAAGGAACACCACCATTTTTCGGGGGGTTTGCCAAGAAAAGACTCGCCCCTCTACAAGTTGCTGATTTATTTATTGATCAACATATGAGATCAAAGCGTCGGCCCTCCAATTTGCAGAACTCGGGTAGATTCAAAGGTTTGTGGAAGGCTCGTGCCTCGCGGATCGGAGCGGAAGTCTGAGAGATTCCGCATTCTCAGATGCCAAGCAAGCAAGCTGGTGGCTGCTGCAAACTGGGATTTCTGCGCAGGGCTTCCTCCAGTTCGTCATTCAGCCCCTGTTCAAAGAGCCGCCGCCCGAGATACCGTGAGTCAGGTGGAAGCATGGCGAAAGTCAGGAAACCCAAACTTGGGTTTAAACAATCTGAGAAAGGGTAACCATCACAAAAAGACACACACACACAAGTACACCACTCTTTGTTTCGGGTGCCTCCTTTTTCTCCTGGACGTTTTACGCAGCTTGGCGCGGTTTTTCGTTTGTGGATTTCCTATCTTCGTGTTGGCCCTGAAACGACTCACTTCCAAGCTCCAAATGTCGGGGCCCTCCCCCAACTTTTGGAAGGGCACCAAACACATCGAGGCTGTCCCAACCCATCGGTTGAGAAAAACCTCTGCAATGGACCTTGGACCAAAAATCCATTTCCGAGGACTGGACAAATCGGGTTTGTTTTTGTTGGGTTCCGTTCTCCGAAAAAAAAAAAAAAAAAAAAAAAAAAAAAAAAAAAAAAAAAAAAAAAAAAAAAAAAAACACCTGCCCCAAGAATGGCATCGGCGGTGCTTTTGGTTTCCTTTTAAAGCCACCAGAAAAGGGGTACCCTTCGACTCAAGAAGCAGACGAAACACCCATTTGACAACCATTCCCAACAGCTGAAAGCAACGGGGTCTCTACCCAGGCGTATTTTGTAGGGGGCCAGCCACAATTTCCTTCTAGTTAACCCCCATCATGTCGGATTTCGGTCGAATGGGGGTCATAGGGTCATAGGGTAGTTGCTTCCCAAAAGCAGGTGTTGTCTTGGACCAATGTCCCTCCCCAAAACGTCCATTCTGATTCCCCTCCCGCCAACTAACATGGGTTTGTGCAAAGGGGGCCCTAAGAGGAAGCTGGCGGGAGGGCACCGGCTTTTTTTTTTTCTCTTCAGGCTGGCATCCAACCACTAAAGTAGGTTCTAACATGAGTGGCGCGCAATTCCCAAAATGGGATACCGCTGGTTTTGAGCCACGGCCATATTTCCTTGCGGCCGGCCTGGGGTTTTGCCGCCGGCTTGGATCTCTTCGCGAGAGCCGAGGCTCGTCACGGTCTCAGCCCCAGAGGTCAGCCTGGGCCCCAAGAGTTGAGGCCGAGACGACTGGGACTGGTCCAACGGTCCCGGACGCCGAAGAAAGTTTTTTGAGCCAGGTCCTGAAAACTTAAGGAAAGAAAAATCGGAGGGTAGCAGCTTGGCTACCCGGCACTCAGTTGGTTTTGAGCGGTCCGACGTTTTTTTTTGGCACAAGTGACACGCTTTTAGGCGGGGGGATCTGAGAGCCCAGATTTCGGGGTCACGTCAAGGCCTTCTGGAATTGGAGATTGGACAATTCGAAGATTCCCTTGCCAGAATTCGGCGCGGATCTCCGGCTTGGAAGGCTAGGACCCGGCTAGGTGCCCCTGGGACCGTTTCTTTTTTTCGGGAGGGTTCCCCTACTAAAATAGACTACAGAAAAGAAGGGCACCCTTAGTCTAACGTGTCTACTGGAGGCTGCACATTGGTTTTGGTCGGCCATTTCAACATACTGGGTTTGGATTGCGACTCATTTGGGCTTGTGTCGACATTGGGGAGCCCCTAAATGGTGAGTTTCCGGTTCTGATTTTTTGAGGCTCGGTGCCCCTGTTTTGATGGTTTTAAAGAGAAACCCAAAGGAACACCGGAGCTAATTTGGAGGGCCCCTGCCAAAAAAGACGCACCCGTGGTTCCCACTTCCTCAGTTTGAGACCGATCTGGTTTTGACTCGGCGGCCGGGATATTTTGTTCGGGTCCTCGTTGACTGTTCTGTAACGAGCGTTGGCGGGTTTCTCAAAGCGGGGTCGCACTAGGATGGGTTGGGTTCCCTTCCCAGCGACCTTGTTGTCTCTTCAGAAGCTTCGGTTGGTTGAAAGGGAGATAAGTCCGGAATTCCGGCATTTTGTGGGGGTCCCCTTGTATGGAGACTCCGCCACTTGTGAGCTAAATAAGCCCTGTGTTTCTTCCCGCGTTCTTTTTGGGGCTAACTTTTTGCGAGCGAACGTAGCGAAGTGGGAGTCGGATCTCTTGCAGCCGAGAGCGCCCAGGCGAGACCTGTCTAACCAGGACTGCTGATGGGATGAGGGACACATGGCTGTGGCTCAAAAAACCGGAATTCCAAAATGGAACCCTGGTAAGTAAAAACATGGACCAAAACCTGCGTAACCCCTCCTGTTTAATTTTGAGCCACACCCACACCTCGGCGAAAAGCGTCTGGTTTTTTGGACCCCAGACAGAATGTGGGCGGCGTCAACCCGATCCTTTTTCGAGGTTGGATCGGGTTGGTTTTAAAGGGGACCAATGACGGGACACACACACACACACTTGTTTTGGGGGTTCCCCACGTATTGAGTTCCACGTGTTGGACGCAAATCCCCAATGCCCAGCGAATGCTGCGCCTGTTGCCGTCACATTCGGCCGCCAGGATAGAGGTCAACGCGGAGGAGTGGATTAAGGGCGAGCCCAACGAGGAGTTGGTGCAGATCATCAAGGCAAGTGCTCGCAAGAAAGCTCGCAAGTCATGGGTTATCGCGTGAAGCAAGCTTTGTCTAAACCAGGCGGGCGTTGGACAGTGCAAGGAGTTGTTTGGAAAAGCATCCAAATGAA